GAAGGACGTCCAACGACATCGCAGATCTCTTGGCGAAAGAGGGTGCTAGAAGTCAGGGCCAAGGACAAGCGCTACCGGGGTCCGACTCCTTTTTTGCTCAGGACAAGGGGCTCACGACTTAATATGGCTCGTTTTTTGGTTTTTTTTCTGTCTCAATGTATTTTTGCAAAAGCTTCATGTAAGTTGTTGTAATTGGGAGGGTCTATAAGCCCTTTCTGTACATTTTAGGCTAGCACAATTTTTTATCGAGTCACCCTTCTTTAGGGTGATCTCGAACTCTCACTTACTTGTAACACTCTCCAATGTAACTCTCTGCCAGCAATACAATGTTAACTTTTATTAAAAAAAAAACATGTCATTTTTTTTACATGCATGAAGCTGACTTCAAAGATGCATAAGTAAGGCTTCTGCATCCTGGAAAATACGACAGGAATGTAAGGTTTGTACAAGGTGCCCACCTTATAATATACAAGTAAGACACCTCTAAATTTTTCCGGAAGATCTAGTTTTGGTGTTGAAAACCTTACAACGGATTGAAAATTCTGTTCAGCCCTAATTACATAATTTAAGATTCCAAAAACAGCAACAGGTCCAGCAGATCTATAAATATTAGAAAATCTTGAAAATAGACAGCCCAGATAAATTGTTACATGATACACTATTTTTAGGATTTGAAATTAGCTTATTTCTTTATATCCATACATCTCAAGCTCGAGATGATCAATCGAAAGGTGTTCCAACGTTGGAACACTCTATTCTACTAGATTTTGAGGTGCACCTTACTTCTATAGTATAAGGTTGCAACCATGTATAAACTTTTTCCTTAGTTGATTGAGGAATAAGTTCCCCTAAAAGTGTGGAACAACTCCAACCAAAGAGGTTCTGGTCCTTAGATACTAAGATACTCAAGCATCATAAAAGGGGTTGGATAGAGCGACTTTTAGTTGTTCAATCGTTACTGATCTCTTCTTTTGTAAGAAACTCACGAACCATCAATGCGCTCATGCCCCCCCCCCCCCAAAAAAAAAAAGGAACCATCAATGTGTCCTAATAACAGTTGATCTCTTATATAAGTTAGGTTCAAGAAGACCAATAAAACAATAAAAAGATGACAAGGACACTATTAGCAGAATAAGAAAGAGCAAGAGAGCAAGGATTTCAAGGAAGAAGAAAGAAGAGAGAGAAACCAACACACTAGATTTCGAGAACCAAAAAGGAGAACAACAGCTAGGATTTTTTTTTGAAGAAAAGTAGTAGGTTACGAAGAATTAGTACTATAGATATTAAATGAAATCTAGAGTTTTAAATAAGATGAAGAGGGAATCAAGAGTTTTGTGGCTGAAATATGACGCTTTGAACAAAAGAACAGTCGCATGAACAGTATAATGAATAGTAGCATGAATAGCAGGTGCCCCCAGATATGGAGGAATAGAGTTTCGAAAAAGGAAGATGAGGATGATGAAAGAAAGCAAAGATGAAGAAAGAAAGATTCGAGTTTAGAAGAATAAGAGATAATGAATCTTCAAGAATAAGGAAATATGGGTTGTCTTGATTAGAGTTGATCACACTGAGAACATTTTTCGACGTCATCCACATGGGGTGTGACATCACCCGCATAGCATTAAATGCCACTAGTTGTGTGCTCCATGTGGGTGACGTCCCACATCTCCTAATGACCAAAAATACCCATATTACAAAAATTCCCCATGTACAAAACAAGGGTGTAAAAATGTCTAAACTTTCTTGAGTACAATGATAAATTACTCCATAGTGTGAGCACCCTAACATAA